GCTGCAAGCCGGCTGCCTACAGCGAAGTGCGCCCCCAGGGACCAGAACCCAGCACTGATCTAGCCCAGCCTTTTCCTGCTGCGACCCAGGCAAGGCTGGTATCCTTTTTAGTAAAGAGGAGATAATGACTGCTCCTGGTCTCTTCACGTGAATGACACTTGTCCTTACACTGTCCTGTAAGGACTGAGCTGGGGATGAGGATTGCATTTTATGTCAAGAGTGGCTGAGTGTAGTGGTTTGCTGATTCCGCAGAGCTTCCTGTTTGTGTCACGGGCCTGGCGGGAGCCATGCTCCAGTCCTTTGGATACCCGTGTTTGTTGAACACCAGACCCCTGTGTATTTTACCAGTGTTTTATTTAATCCTCACGACAAGCCTGTGAGGGTGATGTTATTGTGCCCATCTTGCAGATGAGCTAGCTGAGGCCTCTGGAGTGGTATGTCCTTGCTGAGGACTACTGCAGCGAGCTGAGGGTTACAGATCTAGCAGTAGGCAGAATCCCACCCCTTTGCCACATGCCATCCCCAGGTGGTCACCTTCTGGGATGAGCTGGAATGTGTCAGAGTCACAGCACATTCCCAGGTGTGCTGGCCTTCAGAGTTGGAACTCTGAGGGTACAAACTGTCCCTGGCAGCCCTACATGGGATGAGGGGCAAGCTTGGAAGTGTCCCTGCAGCCCTGACCCAGAGCCAGGATTCCCCCCCACACGGAGGGGTGGGGAGGAGCTTTCCCATGGGGATTTCCCCAAGGGGCTGGAGTGGGCTCTTTCCTGGGGTCAGAGAAGGACATTTGCTTGCTGGCTGAGGTGGGGAATCCCCATGGATTTCACGGTGCCAGTGGGAGGAGCCTATTGTTTTCCTAAGGCACAGTCCCTAAGGGAGAAGAAAGGCTAGGCCGGTCAGAATTAGCCTCTCAGCCAAGTCTCTCGGCGTCTGGAGCTCCATCTCCTCCTCCATCACCTACTTCTGCCTTGAGACTATGGCACCAGACAGTGGCACTTGTATTAATAACTGAAGGAAACGGTCCAAGATTTGCAGCCTCCACCCACTTCTGAGGAAAAAAAGACACCAGATCGTTCATTACCACACTGACTTCTGGTGGCACTCGCTAGAATCAAGGCAAATAGTCAGTGTTTGGGGATTGGGTAATATACTGTGAGCAGACACAGGGAAAGTACTAAGAGACAGAAGTTATCCCTAAGAGGAAATTTCAATGGCAGGAGCATTTCATAATAGATTTTAGTAAAAATTCAAGCCACAAAACAATGGTTATAATTTCTTTTTCTCTTTTTGGTTTTGTAACTAAATTTTATTTTTCTGTTTTATGTATATGGATATTTTGCTTGCATATATGTCTGTGTGCCACCTGCATGCCTGGTGCCCATTGAAGTCAGAAAAAGACCTCAGATCCTTTGGAACTAGAGTTAGGGACAGTTGTGAGCCACCACGTGGGTACTGGGAATCAAACCTGGGTCCTCTGAAAGAGCAGCCAGTGCCCTTAACCACTGAGTTACTTCTCCAGCCCCTTGTTGTTTTAAAGCAGGACCTCACTATACATTCCAGACTGACTTCAAACTGCCTGCAATCCTCCTGCCTCAGCTCTGAGCAGGAGACTACAAGCTTGTGCCACCACATACAGCTTGATTTCCTTCCTCTCCTCCCAGTTTTACATTGCAAGCCAGACATGGTGATGTACACCTATAATCCCAGGCTTGAGAAGTGGAATCATTGGGGTCAGGGGTTCAAGGTCAACCTGTGCAGCATGAAACCCTGTCTGAAAATATGTGAAAAGAAAATGTCTGGAAGAATGTCTGTGAAATGCTTTTGCTGTCTGTTTTGTCCTGTTTTTGTGTTATGAGACCAAGTCTCACTTGTGTTGACCAGGAGCTTTCTATGGAAACCAGGCTGGGCTCGTAGTGGTCCTCCGGCTCTGCCTCCCCAGTGCTGGGATCACAGTATATACCAAAGGTCAATTGTAATTGTTGCTGAGAAGGAGAATTATAAATGTCTTCTGAGAGGGGTTTTCTGATTTCAGTATTTCCCAAATCCATCAGTGAAAACATATTGTCTTTTAGTCTTTTGTAGCTGCGAAGGGAAAAGTCCACAGTGTGGGGTGTCTCCCTTTGTCTGTGGCTAGGGAACAGAGGGCCCCAGCCAAGGTACGGAGTGCCGATAGGGCAGATCCTACAAGAGAGGCCTCAGAGGGGAATTGGCCCAGTTTAGTTATTCAAGCATTACCAGAGAGACAGTGCAGGCTGCAACAGGAGGCTCCTCCGTCCTTTCTGTCCCTCACCCTACGTTGTTGCCCTCACAGGCCCATTGGCATCTGAAATTACCTCTCTGCTAATGGCATGTTAGTTGAATTTGGTCCTCTGCAACAGAAGGCAGCCCTGGGAAACAGAACAGGAGCCCTGACTAACTAGTCCTTGAGCCTCACACACACACATACACACACACACACACACCATCATGGAAGAGCAGATGAGATCTTGGCTTATAAGAACATGGGGACTTTCTCAGCAGGACATTTGTCCAGACTCACATGATAATGTGAGCTGGAACTGACATCACAGGAGTCGAGAAGCCAAGAGAGAGCAGGCTTATGAGCCCAGAAGTGGATGGAGCTTGACACTGGGAGAACCTGGTCCTGTCGATGGTTCCAGTTATAGGTGCTGTGAATGGACCAGCTTTGTGGTCTGCACTCTCCATCCCTTTGCCTCTAGCTTCTCTCTTCTGAACAGGCTGCACTTGAGACATGTTCATCCCATCCATTCTGCTGGTCCTGCAGTGACCAGGTATGCAAGGTGCTCCATCCATCTTCACAGCACATGGCCTGTCTCTGTGGGCTGCTCACCCTCCCTGGCAGCCCTTCTCCTACTGTCCCTCCTACAGACTGTGAGTCCTCGGTCACCTTTGCCAAGCCATTGGAGGGGCTTCTGTTGTCCACATCTCCTCTCCAGACATCCATCCTCTTGTTGGTTGATGATTACCGTAGGAGGGCCCAGCCCACTGTGGGTGACATCATCCCTAGGCAGATGGGCCTGGGCTGTATAAGGAAGCAAGCAGAGCGTGAGCCAGGGAGGGAGCCAGCAAGCATCATGCATCCATGGCTTCTGCCCTAGGTTCCTGCTCTGATGTCCCTTAATAGGTTATGAGCTAGAGGTGTAAGGTGAAATAAACCCTCCCTTCCTCAAGTTGCTTTTGCTCAGGGTTTTATCACAACACCAGAAATCAAACCAGAAAAAACCCCAGTCCTAGGAGTCCTCCCTCAGCCTGTTAGCTCTGCTTTCTAGAATCTGGCCACATCCCAGCACCTCCATGCTACCTGCTCTACCCAAACCACCACCATCCCCAGCATGTCTGCGGTGGTGGGCTCTCTTGCTGAATGGTTCTACCTTTGCTCCTAAGTTTATTCTCAACAGTGCTTCCAGGATGATCATTGCTAAAATACGAACTGTTACGTTACATCGTCTCTCTGTATAAAGCCCTCTAGCTTGCCTCTAAGGCCCTGCTCTCTCAACACTTGGTACCAGCTCAGGACCCAAAGACCAAGTTCTCCACACAAAGGAAATGTATTTGCCCCAGAGGGACAAATGGCAAGGGGAAGGGAACAAGGAAGAGAGGGAAGGGTATTTGTTGGAGGGGGAGAGCTGCCTCTGGATAGAGAGGAAACAGATGTGGCCCATAGGCAAATGGCAGTTTATAAAGGTAAAAGGGGAAACCCCGGATGAGACGAGGTATTTAATTTTGATTGGACATGTTAATTAGGTGAGCCAATGGGGGCTTTTGATTGCCAGACTTCAATACTTTGACAGCTGGACCCTGGTAGTCGACCTCAAGAGAAATAAGTGACCAAATAAGGGAACAGACCTTGGAGACGAGCTTTAGGAATGTAATCTAATGGTTTTTAGCAGGGCAGAGGGAATGGGAGGAAAGGGCAAGGCCTGCCAGAGCCATGTTTGCTATGCCGGGCTGGCCAGAGTCCCTTCCTTCCCCCTACCTCCTGTTCCTCAGTGGCTTTCCTCGCCTCTTACTGCTCTGATCACAACTGACCTCACTGGTCACCTCCAGACCTTTGCCTTTGTTGTTCTTGACACTGGGAACCACCTTTCCATTAACCCTTTGGGTTCATGGCCTCACTTTTTCAGTTCTTTTTGCACAATGTACCTTCTTAGATCTGCAGCCATCCCTGTGTGTGTGTGTGTGTGTGTGTGTGTGTGTACTTTCTTTCGTCCTTTTCTTTGTTTTAGTTCTCTTGCAGCCTAACCTGCCCTTGAACTTACTACGTATCCAAGTATGACCTTGAACTTTGAGTTCTCCTGCCCCTGTCTCCCAAGTGTAATGACCACAGGCACATGCCACCACACAAATCGATGGCTTCGTATGTGCTAGGCAAGCACTCTGCCAACTGAGTCACACTCCAGCCCCACTATTTAGAATTTTAAACTTCTCAATGTCCTCTACCTTCTCCTGCTTTTCTGGGTGTTTTTTTCCTCCATAGCACTTTACTACCTGTGACTGCTGTGTTCTGTTTGTTTTTTTATTCAGACTTTAGTATTTCCAAGAACACCACACACCCCCTAAGGGGAGGGACTTCTGTTCCCCTGGAACAGTGCCTGGCGTGTACACTAGGTGTTCAATAAGTAACTGATGAGATCGGGCACATTCGGGGTGATATGACCATAGGGTGTTCAGTAAGTGGCTGGTGAGTGGCTTCATTGGTGAAGATAAATAAACAGGTTGCTCCTCTTTACTGATCCTTGAAACGGGATGGGGGAGGGCTGGGGGAGGGCTGGGGCTTCTCCCAGTTTACGAGCATTCAAGGCCAAGTGAGAAGGAAACCTCAGAATGGGCCTTGTGTGGAAGCCACGTCACTGTCTGTCTCAGCTTGTGTTCACTAGCCCACATCTCAGTGGCTCCAGGAGAACTTGGCGCAGATGGGCCTGCCTCATTCACCTTCCATCCCAGTGCCCACTGCTCACTTCCCTTTGTTCCTTTTCTAGGCGTCAGCGTGTGCAGCCGCTCAGGCGAAAGCAGCATGGAGGTGAGAGCAGTCAGGCTGTGGCTAGCTCGGGATTTCCCGTGTTAAAGGTTTGGGAAAGTGGCCCAGGAAGTCCCAGGGGACTGGTGCTGACTTCATGGACAGAGAGTGAACCCTGGGGTTAGGGGACAGTTCAGTAACGTCAGGGGTGATGTGAGGTCTTTGGCGCTTGAAGATTAGTCAGGTTTCTGGTGCTACAGCAGAACACCTGAGATCAGATAACCTGTCAGGGGCAACAGTTCATTCTTACTCCTTTTTCCTAGAGGCAGGAAGCCCAAGACCAGATGGCCCCATCCTGCATGGGTCTCATGCAAGGAGAGAGGGAAGCAGCAGCCAGCAGGGCAGGGGTCCCTGAGGACCCTTCCCTCCCAGTGATCCAGTCACTTGGGCTCCACAGAGCCAGTGATTTCAGAGTGACAGACCGTGTTCTAGACACAGCTTGGGAAAATGCCTGATTGTGGACCCACAGGACAGATTTTCTGCTCCACCACCCAAAGGCTTCCCTTTCCAGCTCTTTCCAGAGATCCTACATGGTGCTCTGAAGTCAAGGAAGGCCTTAAACAGTTTAGTTCTAGACTAAGAATTCACTAAAATCACCCCAGTCCCAGCATGTGATTCCTCTGGTTTCCTGCTGAACCTCAGTCTAAATGACAAAATGAAAATATTCAGTGGCTAGCTGATGTAGGCAGCACATCTCTATTACAATATACTGCTGATGTGGGGGACCTGTGGATATGGGAGACCACTGATGTGGGGGACCTGCTGGGGGGACTGTTGATGTGGGCAACTGCTGAGGGGGGACTGTTGATGTGGGAACTGTTGATGTGGGGGACCTACTGGGAGGGGACTGTTGGTGGGGACTGCTGGGGAGGGTGACTGCTGAGCAGCGGGGGGTACTGTTGATGTGATTAGACAACTTTAAAACTGTCCTGCGTTGGACCAAGCAATGGGCTTCACAGAACTAAGGGATAATCATATTTAGGCAAAGGAGAATGTACAAAGGTGTCTGTAACTACATTGTTTATAAAGGAAACATCAGGAAGCAATGGGAAACATCAAAAAGAAATTACTCCGGAGCCTTTTAGAATGCTTAGTAAGGGTGCTTGCCACCAAGCCTGAAGACCTGAGTTTGATTCCCCAAGACCCACACAGTAGAAGGAGAGAACCCCCACTCCACAGGTTGTCTTCTGACCACCCACACTCAGTTGACAACATGTGTGCCCCTCCCATTCAAGGACACACCAGATGATAAATAAATAAATGTAATTCTAAAACAGAAAAGGAAGTATTCAGAATTTGTACATCTGTTCAAGGGTGTGTCAGGCCTCAGAGTGGCATCTGCACACATTTATCGGGACAGGCATATCTGTTGTTTTGGTTTGTTGTTTGTGTTTTGAAACAGGGTCTCACAATGTTACCCTGACTGGCCTGGAACTCACTATGTAGACCAAGCTAGCTTGGTCCCAGAACTCTGCTGCCTCTGCCTCCTGATGCTGTGATTAAAGGCGTGCGCTATGATTTCTAGTTGTCTGTTTGTGTTTAAGACAGGCTGTCCTGTAGCCCAGGCTAGCTTTGGGCTCCTTGTGTAGTCAGTCAGCTCAGACCTTCCTGCCTCTGTCTCTCAGGTGCTGGGATCATGGGTGTAAACCACTATACCTGGCAGTATATTTGGATATATTGGTTGTGAACAAAAGAAAATAGAAAAACCTTACATCACCTAGCTGGTACCCTGCATCCTGGAAAGTTGAAGACGACCAGTCTCTTAGCCAACCTGGGAACAGGACAACGTGACCTGCCTCAGCCTGTCTCCCACACCTGGTGAAAGGAACACGTCCCGGGCTGCAGCACAGACTCTCACGTGCTGAGCGCTCAGCAAGTGTCTACCCAGAACACATGGACCTGGAGGACTCTTCCAGAAGCCTTAATGTTCTGTTTTGTTTGGGGGTAGGGCTAAGAGAATCATGAGTCATTTCAGTATTTCCTTGTTTTCTACAAAGCATACTTCTGCACTGATGGCATACATTTCTTTTAAATGTATGTGGATTTTTTTTTTCACCGTATGTATTTTTAGTGCAGCCACTGAAGAGGGAGGAGAGGTGACAAGATAGCTCTGTGGGTAAAGGTGCCTACCATCTGATGATGCAAGCCTTGAAACCCGAGTTCAATCCCCTGGACCTATAGAAAGGTGGGAACAGAGAACCAGCTCTACACAACATTGGTTCTCCTACCTCCACGTGTGATACCTTCATCCTTTCACTCAACAGTAAATCAAAATTTAAAAACTTTTTTTTTTGAGCTGTAGAGCATTTGACTTGGGTAGGCAAGCCAGCTGAATAGCCCCCTGCACAAAGCTTTAGACTCTCTGAGCTCCAGGCAGGGAGGAGAAGTGCTGGAAATGAGGAAAAGACACACCCTGGGGACCTGCTCCAGCGCCAGCTAGCCTGTTCCTCTCCACACCCTACTGTTGGCTCCTGGTAGAAGAGCTGCTGACCTCAGGCTAGCCTGTCACAGCTTCAGATGGTCAACTGTCTGCCTTCTGCAACTGCTGAGACCGCCCAGCTCTAGTCCTTCAGAGAGAAGTCACGTGGCTCCAGGTCCTGGCTCCTTGCCCATCTTTGGCACCATTTTGCCCACATCCAGATCAGGAAAGGCAGGAGTCTTAAGGGATCCCTAAGTCATTCTGCAGGAGTAACCACCTCTTGGCTAGACAGTGGTGGCACATGCCTTTAATACCAGCACTTGAGAGGCAGAGGCAGGTGGATCTGTGTGAATTCGAGACCAGTCTGGTCTACAGAGCAAGTTCCCAGACAGTCAGGGATGAATGGACAGATGGTCTATGGTGTGCCTCTGACCAGAGACAACACATGACATGACCTGTCTGGCACAGTGGACTGGCGGGTGCCACTTTTGCCTGGTAGCTCACTATGAGTGCTCTGCCCAGAAACATGAAAGTCATATGACTAGCCTCAGAAGGGTTAGGCTTAGGGTCACGTAAGTCTCACTTCTTCTGCTCTAGTCACAAGTCTGCCTGAATTCAGGGAAGAAAACAGACTCAACTCTCAGTGGGTGAAGCGTCAATCGTGAACCCTGAGCCATTCAAGGAAGTTGAGTGTGTGTGTGTGTGTGTGTGTGTGTGTGTGTCCCCATCTGTGTTCTGTTTATCACAAGCATGCATGAGCACGTGTATATCTGTGTGCATTAAGAATCATTCTCGGCCGGGCGGTGGCGGCGCACGCCTTTAATCCCAGCACTCGGGAGGCAGAGGCGGGCGGATCTTTGTGAGTTCGAGGCCAGCCTGGTCTACAAGAGCTAGCTCCAGGACAGGCACCAAAGCTACAGAGAAACCCTGTCTCGAAAAACCAAAAACCAAAAAAAAAAAAAAAAAAAAAAAAAAAAAAAAAAGAATCATTCTCAATCAGTCTCCACAATCCTCACTGATCTGGAATCCCTCAGTCACACCCAGAGCTCACTGATGTGGGTTTTTAAAGATCCACACTCCGGTCCTCACGTTGGCATGGCAAGGGCTTTCCTCACTGGACCACCCGCCCAGCCTGGAAGTCGAGTCTTACTGTCATATGTTCAGTGCAGCCTGAGCCTTCCACCCACGTTCGCCCTGCGTTCTCCTGCCCTCCCTGCACCCTTTCTCTGTCCTGCCACCTGGGCAGGGTACAGGGCGGGATTCCCAGTCTCCATACTCTCGTCTACAAACCCCAGCTCCTCTGAAGCTCCAGGGGCACGGAGGCTTCGCAGCCACAAGTGCACCCCTCTGCTCCCCTCTGGTAGCCATCACTCCCCATCTTTCCTCCTTCCAGGCTTTGAATGACTCAGCCGTTCATGTTTCCTTCACTGTTCTCTGCTTTTTTGAGAGTTTTATACCATTTGATTTTTTTTTGCGGGGGGGGTACCTCTTTTGGAATAGTGTTTCTCTGTATAACCCTGGCTACCCCAGAATGTACTCTGTATACCTGGCTGGCCTGCCTCTGCCAGGATTAAAGGCGGCTGCCACCACCGCCCAGCCCATTTTCTTTCTCAACTGGCATTTTTGTGCCCTTTAGGAGAGAAGGAGTTCATTTGTGTGAATAACCTAGCGTGTTATCTGTAAGCCCTGCCACATCAGCTTAGGTGCATTTAAAGTGTGTGCCATGCTCCCAGCCCCTTGGTACGGCGGCCACATTGAGCCTTTTGTTGAGAATTCAGCTGCTTCTATAAATATGTACACTTACCTTCGAAGTACTAAGCTAAATAGAGGTGGGTGTCAGTCCATAACACGGACCCCAACCCTGGGCTAGAATCCCTTTTCTTGTTATTGTGTATGAGTGAGTACATGTGTGTATATGAGCACTCATGCCGTGGTACATGTGTAGAAACTGTGTGATCAGCCAGGTGGAAGACTTCAGCTTTCCCCAGTTTCCCACCGCGTTTGCCCATTGAAGACCTCAGCTGAGTACAGAGAGGAGTAGAGTGATGGGGGTGGGAGGCTTTGTCCCCCAGCTCCTTCCCTACCTAGCTCAGCCTTGCCAGTGTTCCTCCGGCAGCACTCAACTGCAGTTGCAGGGGGATGCAGGGTTCCGGGCCACAGCTTCCTACAGTGTTGCGGTTCCCTTTGGATTGCTCTCTAGGCTGCCTGCCCTCCCCTCTTTATAAACAGGCCCTTCCTTAAACTCTCCTGTCCCTTTGGGTGGAGGGAAGGGGCGTGTCTGCTTCCTGCTGAGACTCTGGCCTAAACAAAACATTTTCTGATTTGCATCTAATAAAAGAATCAACAGTTCTCCAGCTGAGCCTCGCCAAGCTCCTCATAGGAGCCCTACCCAGAAAGCTTTAAGCGTTTCCAGGCCACACAGTGGTCAGCTGGTTGGTAGCTTGCTGCTCTTCACCTTCGCGTCCTACCTTTTGTTTGTTTGTTTGTTTGTTTGTTTTGTTTTGTTTTCAAGACAGGGTTTCTCTGTTTCTCTGTAGCTTTAGAGCCTGTCCTGGAACTCACTCTGTAGACCAGGCTGGCCTCGAACTCACAGAGATCTGCCTGCTTCTGCCTCCCAAGTGCTAGGATTTAAGGCGTACGCCACCACCACCCAGCCACATCCTAGCTTTTAACTGTACTCGGGACAATGGAGGGGACCTGGTTAGTGACTTCTCACTGGAGAATCTGAAGAAGAAAATAAGCAGGTATTTTCTTACGTGAAGAGAAACCAGGAGAAAGACTGGACAGTGACTTTCAGAATCTATGTGGCAGGTTGGAAAATACCAGTCGTGCTGGGGTTGGGAGGTGGGGAGGGTGGGGTGTGTGACTTCCTGGAGAGCAGGTCCTTGCTAGGTTTACACAGTGAAGTTGGACGTCTTAGGGGACATCCAGGCAGTATCCAGTGGGATTCCCCCAGGCTTCCTGTGAGAAGTCCCTCAGGTGGACCCACCCAGCCTGTGTGATGCTGGATCAATTCTACTCTGCAGAGGGTCATGTGCTTGTCTGTCGCTGGCAGAAGAACATGCTAGAGGCCAGGGAGGCCGTGTGGCTGGCCCACTATCACAGGTGGTGAGTCCGGACTGCCATTTCTCCACCCGGACACTCCCTGGATTCTCTCACCACCTTGTCAGGGCCTCCAGTTAGCCCTTAGTGTCTTCTTTAATTTGCATAACTCTCTGAGTCACCCATGTCTCTAGTGAAAGAAAAAAAAAAATAGATAACCAAGAACTATTTGCCGCTCAGTCCCTAAAAGCACAAAAAGGAAACATCATGGATGGTGCTTTTTAATTTTTTTTATTATATTTTTAGCTGGGGTGTGCTCCCATGCCATGCAGTGCCTTTAGGGGTCAGAGGACAGCCTGGGGAAGCGAGCTTTCTCCTTCTACCATGGAGGGCCCTGGAATCAAGCCTGATGACTTGGTGACAAGAGCTTTGCCACAGAACTGTCTCTGCAGCCCTCATAGATGCTTCTTAGAGATGGCCCGGTACCAGGCTATGTATCCATGTTGCTTTCTGGTACAGGTGTGTGCTAGTAGCTGTGGCTTTGGGATGGATGACCCATGCTTGTGAGAACACACTGACCACTGTTGCTATGGGTTTTGCAACCTATTAGTATGCTTTTAAAGGCATGTGTGTGTGCGTGTTCTGGACCATTGAGCCCCAGTTACATTTCACAAGACATAAAGCATACAGAGCTCAAGTATAACAAGTTTTCAAAGTCTACTGAAGTCTGCCTTTGGTGGTAGCTGCTACAGAGGTGGGTTTAATCCCCAAATGTCAAAACAAGAAGCAACGGTATGTAGAAGGGTGCGCTGTACTGTCAAAAGAGAGAAGCTGGAGATGCTATTTGATCAATTAGGCTCCTACCTCACCTGGACAAGGGAGGTGCTCTCTAGGTAGCAGTCAAGTCTGGAAGCTGGGATTGCTGAGATGGTCCAGCGCAGGGCACAGGCTGCCAACTCCGCTGGCCTGAGCTGCATCCCTGGGATCCACATGGCAGGAGGTGAGAACCAACCCCCAGAAGTTATCCTCTGATTTCCAACCACATGCATGCCATGAAGTGTACACACATGCACACACGAATAATAAGTGTAATTTGAAAATTTAAAAACAAGACCATCGAAAACGATCAATGAAGTTAAAGATTTGCTAGATGTCGAGCTAAAAACCAAGTTAATTTAGTCTAAATAGGTCAATGTAAAAATAAATAAATAGGATCAATGTATATGGGCACCAGTGTTTGTAATAAAACACCTCAGAACTACAAGAAAGGAGAAGAGTAACAAAACAGGAAGGGTAGTGTCACGCTGGTCAGCAAGAGTTGCCACTGTGGTCCCACAAACAGGAGATGAGATGGATGGTACACGGATGAGTGAGATTCCAGCCAGGGGCATTGAAGGCAGGGCTCAGGCCCTCTGGGCCACCCCCACAGAGCTACAGACCTCTACCCCTCCTAAGCAGAGGAAAAGGTGTGGACTGTCATTCCCACCTCACAGGGAGGAGACCAGAACTAGGGAAGTGGAAAGGTACAGCCTAGTGGACGGCTCCGGTCCGCCACTCCTGCTATAACCACACTTCTCTCATCTCCAGGAAGAAGCATTTCAACCCTTGAGTGACATAGCTTCTAGCAGATTAATGTATTCTCTTGCATCCCACGCCACTCTGAGTCCTTTGGTCAAGTGCATCCATCCGAAAAACACTCCCCACCCCCAGCAGCCCTGTCTAGCCGAAGCCAGGAAGCCTCAAGCCCCTTTCAGTTCACTATCTGAACTCAACCCTACAAGGCAGATCAGAGGCACTGCTCCAAGATCCTGCTTTTAGTTCAGCCCACTCACTGTGGATGGCAGAGAAAACCCAAGGCTTGGATCCCTAGCACTGCCTGTCTGCAGAGCCCCCTCCCACAGCAGGAGCTTCATGGTCCCTGTTTCTAGATGGGCAGATGGGGCCCAGGTAGGCAAAATACCAGTGTGTGAGCCTGTGTCCTTTCTCTTCCTGTCTAAGCTGCCTGTAGTCTGACAAGAGTATACTGGAAGTCAGCTGTCTCTAGGGAGATTGCCACCAACCTCATGGAATTTTCAGGAAGTTCTCAGTTACACTCTTAAAACTAAGCCCAGTGTGGTCCTCAACAAAATGTTGCAAATTCCTAATCTGGACACAGAGGCCAAGAGGGCGTGGCCTGGAAGTCAGAGCTGGCTGTTACCCATAAACACAGACACCCTGCGTCAGCCTTCCTCTTCCTCTGCTAGAATTGTCAGAGCCTCAGCCATGCTCCTGCCCTAGGGAAGCCCAGCTGCCACCTCTCTGGGTGACTCAATAGTAGCTGCTCACAGTGAGCGATCCATTTCCCTGGGCAGAGTGGGTGGGGCCTCCCATGCTCCCATGACACGCCATTTCACCTGATGCAACTGCTTTCAGCGCGGAAGAAACACATTGCAACAGCATGCTGCAACACTTCTTCCGCCTGTATGGGGAAACCTCACATGAGCAAAGATGGCATCTCCACCGCACTGATACACTGCACTCTGCTGGAGGTGTCTTTCATCAGGACCACTTTGTCAGGGCCACTGGCGTGGCTCAGCAGATGAGGGCGCTTGGTCGCTAAGCCTGACTACCTGAGTTCAGTCCCTAGGACCTACATGGTGGAAGGGGAAAACCATTCCCTCAAATTATTCCTTAACTTCCACATATGGGCCCCAGCATGCATTCCCCCTTGCAGAACTAAATGTAAAACAAAGGAATTTTTGTTATTTATATGTCTGTGTGTGTTTACATGTGCCATGTGTGTGCAGGTGCCCATGGAATGTAAAAGTGCCTCGGCCCCCCTGGAACTGGAGTGACAAGCAGTTACAAGCAGTCACACCTGGACCCTCTGCAAGAGCAAGAAATACTCTTACCTGCTGGGCCATCTCTCCAGCTCCAGCTTGAGACATCTCAGTGGATCTGCTTTCCCAGTGCTTTTGAAACTCCTGGTGCCTGCATCTCTCCCGGACCCCAAAAGTCCCAAAGAATTTGTTGTGAATTAAAATAAATGAAATTTTTTTTATTAAAGGATGACATAAACGAAATAAAGCACAAAGCATAAGTGTAAATGGATGACATTTCCTCAAGTGAACTTAGCCTAAGTAACCAGTATTGAGCTGAAGGACATCACCTGTATCCCTTGTTGCTGTGCCTAAGTCTGCAGGGAAACATCAGGCCTGTCTGCAGGGTCGCAGCTGGATACAGTGGGCACGCTAATAGTCACAGCTGGGAGCTCGGAGCCGGAAGATCAGAAGTGCAAGGTCATCCTGAGGTTAGTGTTAATTGTCCAGGTTCTAGAGGATCTAGAATAAAACCCTCCAGGAATGGTCATGCCTGTAAGGAATTATCTTGATGAGGTTCACTGAGGTGGAAAGACCCCCGCCCCCTTCCCAACAAGGAGGGTGGGACCTGGACTACAAGAAAAGGAGGATGCCATCAGAGCACAGCTGTCACCACTCTCCCTGACTGTTGATGCAGTATGACCTCTGACCTCCTGCTCCCACCACCACACCATCCCCACCTGAAGCCACAACTTTCCTGCCGTGATAGATGGACGACACCCTAGAACCAGGCAGGGTTTCTCTGTGCAGCCGTGGCTGTCCTGGAACTCGCTCTGTAGACCAGGCTGGCCTCGAACTCACAGAGATCCGCCTGCCTCTACCTCCTGAGTGCTGGAATTAAAGGCGTGCGCCACCACTGCCTGGCTTGTCAGGATATTTTATAACAAAAAACAGTAGCTACTGCATACAGAGTTTGAGGTCAACCTAGGCTATTAGATCTACCTCAGGAAAAAAAAAACATAGGAGATAAGTCACTGACTCCAACAATATCTGTCCTTTGTTTCTGGCTCCTTCTGCTCAGCGACAAGTCTGGGAGATGGCCCATCCGAGTTGTTGCCTGTAATCACTGTGGTTTGTTCATTCAAGGAGACAGGGTCTCCTTGTGCAGCCCCAGCTGGCCAGGAGCTCACTGTGTAGACCAGACTGGATAGGCACTCACAGAGATCTATCTGCTTCTGCCTCCTGAGTGCTGGGATTCAAAAGGCATATGCCGACACACCCGGCTGTCCCATCTTAAACCACGAGTTGCATGGAGGGGCTCTCCCTCCATTCATCTGATCCTCCTACAGCTGGGAGGTGTTGCCGAGTGAACATTCTGATGTGGCCTTCAGGAGCACAGGTTTCTCGTGGGCGGATGCTTGACGGTGGGATGACAGACCCTCCAGCTGTGAGTGGGGAGAGTTCGGCACATCTTTGCCAGCAGTTGATATTTTCTGGTTATTTTTTCACGTTTCCTGATCTAGTGGGTGTGCGGAGGTATCATATTCACAGTGTGGTTTTAATTTGCATTTCCCCAGTGACTGATGTAGCTGAATACCTTTTTATATGTTTAGTAGCCATTTAGAACTCTCCGGAAGTATCTGTTGAAATATCTGGATATGAGCGCATCTCTTTCATTTCTGAGACAGGATCTCATGTAGCCCAGGCTAGCCTTCAAACTTACTAGATAGCCAAGATTGACCTAGAACTTCTCACCTTCCTGCCTTTACTTGCCGAGTGCTGGGATCACAGGTATAAAACCACCACACCCAGTTTTCTGCCGCTGAGGAATGAAACCCGGGGCTTTGTGCTTGCCCAGTGATTGTTCTACATCCCGGCCATGATCGGCGCGTATTTCTAAAAGCCCTTGGGTAACTCTAGTGTACAGCCAGGGTTGAAAACCTTGTGAGATTAGTGTTAATTGTCCAGGATCGAAACCAGAAATGCTTGTCCTTTCCCCTGTGTGAGTCCTACTCTACCCCTGAACTAGAGAGGACCGCATGGCTGTGTTGGGAAAGGTAACCTTCACTCTTCTCTAGATGCACCTCCCAGAAAGAAGCAAGAGGTCGGAGCTGACAGTCAAGGATTTTAGGAATGTGACCTCCACTTCAGAAGGGCCTTGGGGTGAGGCTTGAGTCATCCACAACTACCACAGACATTTCCTGACCACAGAAATGGCCCTTTGCTGGTCCTTACAGAGCCTCAGGCAATCATAGAGAGGAAGTAGAGGGCGCCATGCCAGGTACTTCCCAGTTTCTAGGCTAGCATGAATGGGTCCCAGCTCATGTCTGAGGTTACAGTCAGGCTGGGGTCAGTATAGATGTGTTCCAGAGACAGGGAGGTCGGCATCTTCCAACACGAGAAGGAAATGTGGTCCATACCTAAACAAGAGCTAGGCAGGGTCAAGCTGACTGCCCTGTGTGGGGTCCATGGTAGCACCATGCCACACTGGTTAGTGAGGAACCTTCCACTGAGTCCGTAGTTGGTCCCTAGGACCAAGGCTGTGCTGGAGCCTGGACTAGGTCTACACAAAGGCCCCTCAGACACAGCAGTAGGCTCCAAACACCCCACAGGAGTTCACCACAGTGCCTAGAACTCAGGGTCTGAGCCATGTGTTCTTGGAGAAAAATGGGGGCTGCCTTTTCTTCCTTGAAGGCCTGCCATCTGCTTTGGTTTTTTTTGTTTGTGTATGTGTGTGTTTTTTGTTGTTTGTTTGTTTTGAGACAGGGTTTCTCAGTGTTGCTTTGGAGCCAGTCCTGGAACTAACTCTTGTAGACAAGCTGGCCTCAAACTCATGGAGATCCACCTGCCTCTGCCTCCCAAGTGCTGGGATTAAAGGCATGCGCCACCACCACCCGGCTTTTTTTTTTTTTTTTTGTCTTTTCCTTGTTTTTGTTTTTTGCCATCTGCACAGTATTGTGGGAGACACCAATTGACATGTTAGAGGCTGGGGGACAGAACTTCTCTGGCCTCTGCCTTATACCATGTTTCACAGATACAGACCCATCCGGGAAACTGTTCTGAAAGCAGAGTACTCCATATCTGATCACCCAAGTACAGATGTTAGGTTCTCCTGACTGGCCCAAGTGATCTGCAGCAGCCGGTGATTGGAGTGCTTCCTGAACCTAGGAAAGCAGGAACCTTCCTCGGGCGCCACTGTAGGAAGCTTATAGATGCTTCTCCTCCTTGCCAGGAATCAGCATATTCTGTCTTCACCATATTCGCCACCTGCGCTTCATAAAAGAGCACCCCTCCACTGAGCCCTCCTCTTTCACTTCAGGGCTCCACACAGCCAGGCAATCAGGCCTTCCACCCTCTCAGACCACGCCCACGAAGGCTCCTACCCCACTGGCTCCTGACCTGCAGTCCTTGCTGCTCTGTCTCCACTGTCTTGAAGGTGCTTTCTGCATTCCACCTTCCCCATCAGATAGACAGTGTTAGTCAATACAAGGGGTAAAGGGTTTTGTTCTGATAGATTTGGGCTCGTGAGAAAGTAAGATGAGGGGCATACAAATCAAGCCCATAATAAGATGCTACCTCACAATCTTCAGAATGGCTGTTGTCAACAAACAAAGCAAAGCAAAAAGTGCTGGTGAAAAATAGGAAGTCTTGTGCATGGCTAATGAGAATGTCAAATGGCGTGGCCGCTATGGGAGACACAGTGGCGGCTCTTAAGGAGGGAAACAAGAGGGTGACCCTGGGTGATGAAGAGGGCTGGGAAGTGGCAAAAAGACACGCGGACCATGGGAGAGGTAAAGAGACAGAGTCGGGTGGGAGTATACGGGAGGGAGAATCACCAAGACTCTTTGTTGGTGTCTTTGTTCGACGACTGTGAAGAGGCACCGTGACCAAGACAACTTATAAAAGAAAGCATTTAATTGGTGGCTCCCTTACAGTGTCAAAGGGCCATCATGGCCAGGAGCAAGGCCAAAAGCCTGCAGGCATGGTACTGGAGCAGCGGCTGACAGCTTATGTCGTATCCACAAGTTGGAGGAAGGGAGAGAGAGACAGACAGACGGACTGACAGAGACTGGGCTCTTCTGAAACCTGATGGAAGGCTTTCCTCCGTCTCGCCACTGGGTCCTGCTAATTCCTGGAACCACTTAGGAAATAACTACTCTGAGGCTTATTATCAGTTACAATTGTCTGGCCAATGTCTTACCCTTTTTTCTAGCTAACTCTATTAAATTAACCCGTTCCTTTTACTCTGTGTATTGCCACAAGGCTGTAGCTTACCAGTGTGTCATGCGACTCCTCCGGAGACTTCATGGCATCTCCTCAACTCTGCCTGCTTTCTCTCCATATCTGTTTGGACTTCTCTCCTCGCTATATTTTGCCTGTCCATTGGCCGAAAAAAGGTTTATTCATCAACCAATAATAGCAACACATATATAGAAGGACATCTCACATCACCTAAGCCCAATCCCAGTGACAAGGCCACTATCCTATGTTATAGAATATTATTTTTAAGATGTGTCACATTTATTTATACTGTGGAACATCTGGTTAATGATGCAAAGATGTTTTGCATTCTTTTATATTGCATTTGTTTAACTCTGTGAAGCTGTGTTACTTTGCCTGTATTAGACCTGATTGGTCTAATAAAGAGCAGAGTGAGTAATAGCTAGGCAGGAGAAAGAATGGGCATGGCCAGCAGACAGAATAAATAGGAGAAGAACTCTGGGAAGAGATAGAGGAGCAAAAGGAGGTGAAGGAGAGGAGGACTTAAGCAGCCACCAGTGTCTACACAGCAAGACACAGAGTAAGAAGTAAAGGAAGGTACACAGGAATAGAGAAAGGTAAAAGCCCAGAGGCAAAAGATAAATGGGATTTTTGGGGGGGGGATGATTTTTCGAGACAGTTTTCTCTATGTAGCTTTGGAGTCTGTCCTCGCACTTGCTCTGTAGACCACGCTAGCCTTGAGTTCATAGAGATCCTCCTGCCCCTGCCTCCCAAGTGCTGGGATTAAAGGTGTCTGCCATCACTGCCCAGTTTGAAAGAAATTGAAATTTATGCCCTGGCAATGCTGAAGTGTGCATGGGCAGCCCATCTATGGCGATTCTCTTGAACTTGTTCATATTGGGTTTCATGGTCTAAGTTGATGAGGATGACTGACCCGGTTTCTTCCTCAAGAGAACACCAGATCTCATTACAGATGGTTGTGAGCCACCATGTGTTTGATGGGAGTTGAATTCAGGACCTTTGGAAGAGCAGGCAGTGCTCTAAGTGCTGAATCATCTCTCCAACCCAGTTTAGATAGGATAAATTAAGAATAGCTTGTCAGAAACAAATCAAGCTAAGGCTAGGCATTCTTTAGAATTAAGTCTCTGTGTAATTTATTTGGGAACTGGGTGGCAGACCCCCAAATAGTAAAGAGCAAAGATGAAGGAGGAGGAGGAAGAGGAAGAGGAGGAGGAGGAGGAGGAGGAGGA